CTTTGGCTGTTGGTCTGCGATTCTGCGTCTTTCATGTCTTCGCTGCGTGCATGTACGACGCCGCCACCAGAAAGGGAGCCGGACATCGAGTTACCGGAGCCTGAGCCATCGCCGTCCGAGCCATTGGGCGTGCCGGGAGCGAGGCGGAGCGAACGCACACCGGGGCCCTCGGCGATGGTGATGATGGCATCACGGTCGATGGCCCAGATGGTGACGTGCGCATGGTTGATGACGCTCGTCAGCTGCGCTTGCGACTTGCGCGACGCTTCCAGCGCCTTGACCTCGTTGTCGCAGTCGGTGCAGCTGCCGTACCACTTGATGATCTTCCCGGTGTTCTGATCGCGAAGGGGCAGGGCACGGCCCAGCATCCATTTCCAATGGCCGTCGTACCTTCTGCACCGATACATGGTCTGGTAGGGTTCGCCTGTGCGCAGAGAGTGAGACCAGCGTTTGTTGGTCTCGACCATGTCATCCTCGTGGAAGACCTGCTGCCATCCTACGCCAGACGAGTCCTGGCGGTCGAGACCGGTGTAACGGTACCAGCCCTCGTTGTACCAATCGTGGTGTCCATCGGCATATGTGGTCCAGAGAAGTTGAGGCATACTGTCGCAGATGGTGCGGAAGTACTCTTCGCCCTTCTGTTCCACCTCGAGTTTACGCTGCTTGTCGGAATCGGTAACGTCGATGAGAGTGATGACACCACCCACATGCTCACCGAATCCACCAGCTCCACGGACCGGCTTGGCCACAATCTCGTAGACACGCCTCGCGCCTGTGTCGGTGGCAACGCATCCGACACGGACAGGCTTGGTGAGTTGGCCGAGGATGGCTGCGCGGTAGATCGGCCAATTCTGTTCAGGGAAAGGCTCGCTGAAATCTTCGGTGTAGCAGTCCATGACGTCGGAGAGCCAGGAGAGATCGACCTCGAGGCCGTCCTTGGTGGGTTTCTTGGCGGCGGGGTCGTTCTTGGGTCTGTCCTGCGGGCTCTTCTTCTGGAACATCTGGAGCATCTCGTCACAAGCGCGATTGCGCACGACGGTGGAGCCGTCGGCAGAGAGCGCCATGATGGCAGTTTCGATGGTATGGAAGACACCCTCCTTGAGCTCTTCTGCCTTGGTGAGTTCGAGATCGGCAGGGCTCATGCGTCTCTCGGCGAAGCGGGTGGGGACGATGCTGATGGTGAAGTAGGACTCGTGAGGCAGGGTGGACGCGCGCGTCTCCATCGAGTCCATGCGTTGCGGCGTGGCAGGCGAGGGCCCGTTGTCCAGGTCGGCGTTCTTTTCGGCGTCGCTAGAGAGGGAGCGCGCAAAGTGGTTGTTGAAGGTCTCGGAGAAGACCTCATCGGTGGGATGCCACGCCGAGATGTTCATGTCGGCGGAAAACATCTTCTGGTCATCCTGGAGGAAGGTGAGGCGGGTGAGGACGGGGGGAGCCCATGCGGCGGTGGCTCGCACCTGTGCAGCCTCGTTGAGAGCGGTGGTGAAGTCGGCGCGGTGCTTTTCGACGATGAGTTTGTCCATGGTTTGCCCCATGCAACTGACACCGGTCATGAGGAAGATGCTCTCGCACGGACGGTTCATCATGCGGATCCTGCGATTGTGGTCGAGGACGACGATGGGGGTGGGCGCAAAGTAGAGCGCCCTGACGGACTCATCGAGATCGAACATCCTGGCGGAGGAGTCGGCGAAGTAGGAGGATGAGCCGGCTGGGAAGGGCACCAGAGGGGCCGGGGGCGAACGCGGGTCGAGTGTGGATGCGTGCGACCTGCGCGAGATGGGGTTGGAACTGGCGTTGGAGGGCGAGTTGGGGTTGCTGTTGGAGGCCCCGGAGGCGGAGGAGTGGAAGGAGCCGAAAGTGCTGTTGGAGCGGACGGGATGTGCGGCTCTAGGGTTTGTGGCTTTGGTAGGGGGCAAGGGGGTGTAGTGAGGCGGGAAGCACTCGGTGTTGATGGGTAAAGAGGAGTTGTTGGTGGCAGGAGCGGGACCACCGCCGGGGCTCTCGAATCGCGCCCTCTTTAGGACGGAGGAGGAGGCGGCGGCCGAGGCTGCCGTAAAGGTGGAGCTGGACTCTTTGTCGGAGAGCGGTAGGGGCGAGGTGTCGACGTCTGCCTCTGTGACGGGTCGTTTGCGCGAAGGAGGAGGCTGGAGAGGTTCCGAGCGAGGTTGGTGGTCTGAAATGATGACAGAGGTGTGGGACACTCCGCGTGCGTTCTAGGACTCGTTGAGTGAGAGCCCAAGAACCGGAGTATCGTCGAGGGTGGAGTGAGGCAGATGGATGCCGGATGAGAAAGCTGCGAGACGACGCGGTGCCAGGACGAAGGCGAAGGACTCGCGAAGGACGCTGGCAGCGGAAGGCGTGAGTCGAAATGGATGACCGCCTTGGAACGAATCAGCCGAGGCGAGACGGAGGCGGGGGAGGAAGAATCGACGGCGGACAGATCTCTGTTTCTTCGACCATGCGCGAAGGGGCGCAGCGAGAGTGAGGGAGGAGGCGTCCGTATCGAGGACGTAGATGATGGTGGAAGGACAGGGCAGGACGACGCGGAGAGTGCAAAGAACAGCCCCAGCCGGCAGGGAGAAAGTGTGAAGAGCCAAAGATCGGGCGCAGTCGAAAAAGAGGGAAAACGCCGACGAGGATCGAAGCCAGGGCGCCAGACAACGACGACGAGGAGGGAGCGTGAAGCGGTTCGGTGGTGAGACAGGATTCGGTCACACCGGATGGCAGAGCGGCGCGGCGCGGCAAGGCGAGGAGAGGTGTACGAGTTTGCGTTGGGTCGGGGCGGAGAGGAGAGGATGCAGAGTAGGTAGGCTTGTAGCCAGGTCAGTTTTGCAGATCCAGCCAAGAGCGCAGCAAGAGCCGACGGCGATGGGGCGGGAGAAGCACGAGAATCGACGAGGGGCGCGGCATGCAGCGGATCGCAGGAGTCAGCGAGTGGGACGGTTGGGACGGGTTCAGCAGTGCAGTGCACCACCGATGTCCGGCGTCGGGTTTTGCGTACGGCAGCAGGGCTCAGGAACAGCGCGCAGTTCGCGCGCGGCAGCAGCAAGAGCACAGGAAAATTACGGCAAACGCGAGTGAGCGCGAATCCGGCTGTGCGAGGTCAAGGGCCGATCGAGGAGGGCACGCGAACCCCACCGCGTATTTTTTTTTCTTCGAAGGGCCTCCAAGGTGAAATCGCAGAGCGAAGTCGGAGCCAAATCCATCATGCGGAACTGGCTCTCCGCCCATCGCTGTTGAAACGGTCGAAGCTCGAGGCACATACGTCTCCAGCCGTGGCTCGACTCGGTCGGCCTGGTCTTGCCCTTCTCGTTTCAAGCGGAGCGCCGACCGTACCACCAATGTGCTCCAACCATCCCAGCTTTCGGCCCGATCAGGCCAAGGCCTCGCGCCGCAGCGTCCAGAAAAACAAAGGATACTCACCTCGATCGGGTCGCTGAATTGCTCGCTACCGGTGCGGAGCTGCGTGGGGAAGGCTGGCTTAGCTGACTGCAGCAGCCAAGCAGAGAGTTTGAAAGAAGCAAAAGAGAAAAGGGTCAGAACCAGCAACGGTCTAGTCTCGGCGGCGGGTAATCCAACAGGAAAACACTGTGCCATTATGCAAGCCCGCGGCAGGGCTTCGACTCAACACTGAGATCCGATAGGATTCTCGGATCCGTCGTCACTACCGCTGCTGAGCCACCTGGCGAGCTTCGTGGATCCCTCCTTGGCTAGTCTTGGTCAACCGCTATGCGGCAGGCCTGGCACGCCGTATCGGAAGTTGCCGAACGCCGGAACATCAACGGCGGAAGATGCAGCGAGCGATCTGCCCGGGTGGCTGTTATGCCAGAATGCGGCTTCGCTTCTGCACGAATCCACATGGCCGCGCCACTACGCGGTTGCCAATCTCGCCGTGCAACCCCGCAATCCGTCCGGACCCCGATGAAAGCCATCGCCGATTTGTGACAACGATCCTGGTCCCGATTTCACTTTCTTCCAAACCACTTGGTTCGTCCTTACCCGGCAAGCGTCCGACGTCTTTGGCGCCCGTTCCCGCGCACTGGGTGGTACTTACGAAAGTTTGGATGCAAGATGGACCTCTTTGTTGGCCGATGGCTCCGCGAGTCTAGCTTGCCTGGCACTATGAGGCTGTTGCGGGTGGGTTGATGAGCTGGGATGCCGTTGCACCGAGCGTTGTCGGGAGTGCCAAAGTGGTTGAAAGCGATGCAGATGGCTCTGATGTTGCAGCGAGGGAAAGTTGGCGCGGAGTAAAGTGTGCTGGGATGCAAGTCGGCTTCGTGCTGGAGTAGTGTGGGTAGACGGTTGTGTTCTGTGATGGTGGCGATAGGGAAAGACACGAGATACATTGGAAGGCTGTGATGTGGCAGGGGCGACCATACTCACAGCGGGTCTGGCTGGGAGAGCTGCAATCCTCCCTCGCCGAACCCTCTAAGCAACTCGGCTGACCCGGTGTATTACCGACCATGCCTAGCGGCCGCTTCGCTACGCCTTTCAGTTCTTAAGCTTCTCAAACCTTATTCAGCCCCAACCAAACCGTTCACCTGGCCGGCGTGCATGCGTGGCATCCACGTTTCGCACTCGAATCTTGCTGAAGTGCATTCAGGATCTGGAGCCAGATTGCTGCTTTCGCGCCCCGGACTCAGGCGAGGGCGCACCGGCCAGCTCAGGGTCGAGACCGCGACCGAGTCTAGACCTCGCCTGACATGCATGCCTGCATCAAGAACTCCCATGTATGTCGATCTAACACAGGGCGATATATGCGACCCTACGATCCTTCATACCGAGGTCCAGGCTGACGAGCATTCAACGAGCTCCGCCGACACAGCCGTGTCCGTTGAGAGGCCGTGATTGAGGGTCTCACACACGTGTCCACACACGTGCAAGCAAGAGAAGTCGAAGATACCGGAAAGACACGTTGCGTTGCATACATTACAAGAGACGGAATCGAGATGGTGACATCGCGTTGATGGGCACAAACGACGACATCGACCCGCTCGCACCCCTTAGATGCGGGCAGGAGCGTGCTGGTGAGGCAGGTGCGAGTAGAGGGCGGTGGTGAGGAACTCGTCCGGCGCCGGGGCGCGCACCTGGTCGGCAATGTAGCGCTTGGCCTTCTCGACGCTGGCGCCGATCTTGGACACCTTGGCCGCCTCCTCGTCCAGGATGCGGTCGACGTAGGCAGGCGTGATCGCGTTGCCCTCGGCCGTCTTCTGCTTGTGGTACACCCACGACCAGAGACCCAGACGCGAGATCTCACCCGTGGCAGCATCCTCCATCATGTTGGCAACGGGCACACAGCCGAGACCGTTGAGCCAGTTGGCGCAGTACACGAGCAGCGCCGCCACGTTGGCACGCACACCAGCCTCGGTGATCTGACCGGGCACGTTCGAGTTCAGCAGGTCGAGCGCCGAAACCTTGACCTCCTCGCGGCGCACGTGGTACTGGTTGGGGCCGAGCATGTTCTTGTCAAAGATCTCGAGCGCAATCTTGACCAGAGCAGGGTGCGCAACCCAGGTGCCGTCGTGGCCAGCCTGCACCTCGCGCAGCTTGTCGGCGCGCACCTTCTCCATGGCGGCGTCGTTGGCCTGCGGGTTGTCCTTGATGGGGATCTGCGCAGCCATACCACCGATGGCAGCGACACCGCGCTTGTGGCAAGTCTGGATGAGCAGGTTGACGTAGCCCTGCATGAAGGGCACCGTCATCGTCACGGCCGCACGGTCGGGGAGGATGGAACCGGGGTTGTAGCGCTGGCGCTTGATGAACGAGAAGATGTAGTCCCATCGACCACAGTTGAGACCCGAAGAGTGCTGGCGCAGCTCGTAGAGGATCTCGTCCATCTCAAAGGCGGCAGTGATGGTCTCGATGAGCACGGTGCCGCGAATGGTGCCACGGGGCATCTTGATGTAGTCCTGCGAGAGGTTGAACACGTCGTTCCAAAGACGCGCCTCGAGGTGGCTCTCCATCTTGGGCAGGTAGAAGTAAGGGCCGTAGCCGGATCGGACGAGCTCGTGGGCGTTGTGGAAGAAGTAGAGACCAAAGTCGACGAGCGAGCCGGACATGGGCTTGCCGTCGACGACAATGTGCTCCTCGTTGAGGTGCCATCCACGGGGACGCACGAGCAGCACGGCGGTCTGGCCCTGGGGCTTAAGCTTGTACTCCTTGTTGTTCACCTTGAAGTCGATGCTGCGGTTGATGGCGGCACGCATGTTGACCTGGCCGTCCATCAGGTTGGCCCAGGTGGGCGAGGTCGAGTCCTCAAAGTCGGCCATGTAGGTGTAGGCACCCGAGTTGAGCGCATTGATCACCATCTTGCGGTCAACGGGACCGGTGATCTCCACACGGCGGTCACGCAGACCGGGTGCGGGGGGAGCGCATTGCCAGGTAGGGTTGTTTCGGATGTGAGCGGTCTCGGGAAGGAAGTCGGGCAGCGCGCCGCCGTCAAATCGAGCCTGTCGGAGCTGACGGGCCTTGAGCAGCGACTGACGGGTGCTGTCAAAGGAGCGGTGAAGGACAGCGAGGAACTTGAGGGCCTCGGGGGTGAGGATGGATGCCTGGTCCCCCTCGATCTTGCCTGTTGATCGGAAGAGAATGGCAGAGGCAGCAGCGAGAAGATGGTCAGTTCTTTGCGAACGCACACAGAGCCGATTGAGGTCGCAGTCCAAAGCCAGATTTCGAGAAATACCTACCGAGCACGCGGACGCCTTCGACGGACATTATGGATGAAGTTTTTGGTGGTTGCGATGGGGTGGAGATCCTTGGAGATAAGGAGAACAGAAAGAGGAGGCGCTGGGAGTGATGACGCCAGGATAGTTGGTGGGAAGATGAGACGCACGCGAGGTCGGTCGATGCAGAAGTCTATATACTCTGGCCGTCTGCTTGGGCTGGGATGCGCCGATCGCAAAAGCTCGGGCAGGAGCGTGGATGTGCGAGCGTGGTTTCAGCGGCAGTCGCTGCCTCGTTGGCGCGCAAGTGTGGAGAAAAAGCTCAAGGCTTCCGGCCTGCATCCTACCGCAACCGGGCAGTGGGAGCGCCAACTCGGCCGCTCAAGCGCCTGAGAGCCGGTTCTGCAGGTTGCCTCGAGCAGAGCGTGAAATGGGCGCCAGTATGCGGAGAGAGGGGAGACTGCCGCACGGGCGCCAGACCTCCACCCCTCCTACCGTCCACCGCCCGTGCTGCAGTTGGCCTTTAGAATTTGTGGAGAATTTGTGGCCGGGCCAAGTGGAAATAACGTCCCTTCCGATCGACTGCTCGCCCGCTTCCAGCTCTATGGGCCGCGCCCGACCCTGGCATCCATTCCGTCGAGCCTCCGCACCCGCCGATGATAGAGTTGAAAGCGCACGCCCACACGTTGGCTGCTGCTATGCTATCGCCCTGGCAAGCTGGCATCCACGCACACTTTCGACTTGATTAGCATCGTTCTAAGTTCTACTTGACGAGAAGAGCACGCACGCTGCGTCATGGCAGCCTAGGACGGGGCAAAACCTTACGGTGAGCTGTCGTAGGTGAGGCAAGTGCGGGGTTTGTGCGTCCCCAAGCGGCGCAAAAGCTCCAGTGCGAGGCCGTCTAGGCCGTTGGATCCGGTAGCATGCCTGCTGCTGCTCCTTCGCACTTGTGCAGCCGAGGTCGACGCCGACGTCAGAAGGCTAGCCAAGTGCGGATCGGATCGCTTTCCCTCTCGCGCTTGCCGGATCAGAGGGTCACGAGTGTGCCGGCCTGGCCTGTTGGAAGCCGTCTGCATGTGGAGGACGCCCGCGTGAAAATGCGGAGATTTTCGCATCACCCTTGGCCGGACGAGACCCAACTTCCGGCAACTCCGCGACCAGAAATGCCGTGTCATTCGTGAAGGAGGGCGATTCGTACGATAGTAGGGAAACATCACCGATTTGATTACCGATCGTTGGGGAGGCCCGATTTCTTCGTGAGGTGCATCTTGCCGCTGCCGTCGCTACCACTGTCCGTGCTGCTCAATGCTTTCCATTCAAGTGCGCACTTGCCTACCTCATACAGCAGCGAGATGCCGACATACACCGCGAGCATCGACCAGAAAGATGCGCTATTGTCCTGTTATGGATGCGTTGCATCGTAGTGCGCGCATGTTGCTGAGCCATAGCCGCACACGGGAGGTGGATGGCTTGGAACTACAGCGAAATCGGGAACACCACGCGTTCTCAAAAGGGATGCCAAACAACGTGTGGGCGAGAAAGAGTTGGTATTGAGACAACACTGGTACAAGCGGCGGTCAATACGACAGCAAAGCAAGGAGAGCCATGCCGTCCTTAAAGACCGTTGGCAATCTCGGTGATGCCAGTCTGGAAGAATTGGAAGGGAAGATCCAAGAATCAAGGGAGGCAAGGTGTCAATAGAAGCTCAAGCAAACGGTCGCGTGCAACTAGCATGCCTAGCATGCCTGCACAGATGCAGAATCATAGTGCCATGGCACGAGTACTTACCTGGAGGGCGTTGGGGTTGGCACCAACGATCTTCTTGACAGCCTGGCCCTTGTGGAAGATCACAAAGGTGGGCATGGCCTGGATGCCGACCTCGGCGGAGATCTTCTCCTGGGCATCGACGTCGACCTTGTAGAAGTCGATCTTGTCGCCGGCGGGGGTGTCCGAGATCTTCTCAAAGATGGGGCCGATGACCCTGCAGGGACCGCACCAAGTAGCCCAGAAGTCGATGATGATGGGCTTGTCACCTTCGATCTGTTTGCATGCCAAAGTGCAAGAACGAAGCAAGAAAAGTCAGAGACTGTTGACGTTGCTCGACGGATCTGGTCTCGAGCCATGATGCACAGATACTTACGAGGCTCTTGAACTGCTCGTACGACTCGATAGCCTTGACAACCATTGTGACAGATACGGTGGGGGTGATGTAAAGATGGGAGAATCTATGTGGACAACAGCAAAGATGGAGGTGAGTTTTATAGCTGAGATCCTTGCCCCAACGTGCATTCTGACTTCGGCCATGCAGACTCTGCTCGTGGCCAACCAACACTTGCGTCTACAGTAATCGCCGTCCAGCTCAGCCAAGAGGCTGAGTGTCCGGTCAGTCACCGCGCAGTCAGTCACGGCGCGCTAGGACCACCGCTCGTCCATGGCGTTCGCTGGGAAAAGCCCAAATTTTGGCTGATCGGCGCAGCGCACTCTTCCAAAAGCACGCCACCCCCCGATGACAGCTCCTGCGCACTTGCTGAGGCGGAGTGGGACTCGGACTTTAGGCGATTTTCCCCAAGCTATGTTAGACTCAGGAGAAGGGTCCTTGCATAGCCGCCAAGCTGCTCCGATGTCCGAGTTGACCCTCCGTCCTCCCGCGAATCTGATGTTGCCATCGTTTCGTCAACGGCAATTACTGCAAGCGGCATAGGCCTCCGAGCTCCAACCTTCCATACAAGTCCATCGATCATCGATACTTCGAGAATTCGGTCGAGCGTTTGCATTCGGACATAGGCGGCGCCCGGTCCGGTCATGGTCTACTCGGCATCAACATAGCCTGCAGTGACTCCGAGATCCCACTGGGGCGCCATGGAGACCGGCGAGCATTGTGCACTGGAGACATGCGGGCGGCTGTCCTTCCTGCCAGTCCCTTGTCCGCTCTGCATCACCACCTTTTGCGAATCGCATTTCTTGCCCGACCAGCACGCCTGCGCAAAGGCCCAGTCGACGGTGCTCAGTGACGATGAGCTTCTGCGACGCATCGAAACTTCGGGCTCATCAGGTCGGCTGCCGTGCCAGAAGCAAGGATGCAAAAAGCTCAGCTTCGAAGTCCAGGCGCCTCTTTCACAGAACCGAACGGTAGCCTCGGATCCAGGCCTGCCGTCCAGTTCACGACGGACCTTTACGCATGCGGCGCCCAGATGCGACCGGTGCAAAGGGCTCTTCTGCGCGATGCACCGATCTGCGATTAGCCATGGCTGCACAGCCCAGGCACCCCTTACCGAAGGTCAACGCAAGCTGCAGGCTATCGAGGATCGCAAGAAGAAGGCTGCCGCACTGATCGCAAAGAACTTTCCGAACCGAGGAAAGACGTGATACATCATCTCTCAGCACCTTCGCCCATATACCCCTCCATAACGTCTTCAATCTATATTACGGGCTATCAGAATCTCGCATGGAGGCGTCAGGTGTCACAGTGAATGTTGGACGGGTGAACCGGTGTCGTATTGCAAGCCCGCACCTGATTGGCGCTATGCCTTTCCATGTAGGAATCTGTGGGCCTCTTCGCAGCTGTCGGCAGAGATGCAGAAAGTGCCGCCAAGATCGAGCTCGGCATTTACGCCGTCGAAGCTGCCTCCTGCTCGCTTGGCCTGGTCCTTGGCCAGCGAGTCGGTGTCTTTGTACGGGCATCGGATCTGTTGTGGGAAAGGACATGGACAGTGCGATGGCTTGGCCACACACGAGAGAGTGCGAGGACACAGGTACTGCGTACACTGAGCTGCATCCACTCTTGCTTCAAACCAGCTCGCGTCGCCCGACTGTACCGTTAGGATGCAGTTGATTCGAGCATGGCGCATTCACAAGAGCAAGTTGGGTCAGACCTGACACGGCGCCTTGGTCAAAGCTCGCAAGACACCATACTTACCGGCGGTGGCTCTTGTTCCCGCTGACCAAACATCGATCCGCCCGCATTGCCTCCGAAGAATTGCTGGAAGAACTGTGCCCGAACCGTGCCCAATAACAGCAGCGCGACGAGCATGATGGGCGAGAAGAAGATGGAAGATCTGGCCATGACGCCTAGTCGAATGCTTCCGGACGTTGGCGACTCTCGCAAGATCCAGGTGAGGGCAGGGCGCTGTAGGTGAAGGCTATGTGGTCTTGCAGCGGACACAGATGTGTGAATTGAAGGCAGGAGGGTCATGCGCGAAACAGCTCGTGCTGTCGGCACCACCAACAACGTGGAAGGGTCCACAGCGCCGTTTCCCGAGATCCGGCTTCGTGCGCCGGAATTTTTGGCGGAAACACAAAATTTAAGGGTCAAAGGAAAGCAGCATAAAAATGCGGAGCTTTGAGAACAGCACCGACCGGAGCCGCTTCTTCGTCCTTCCCATCACAATCCTTCACCATAAGCCGAACGATAGCGCCTTAGCAATAGTGTCGCGGGCTATCCATAGGCAGACAAAAAGATGGAAGGAGAAATAGCAGAAACGCAAGCCGTGGCTGATCATGTCGCCCCACCAACGGAAAGGCATGCTGATGAAGCCATCATCACAGATCTCAATCACGGACCAGGCGAACAACTTTTGGATGCTGTGACCGCAACGGAAACGCGCTCATTGGGAAAGGACGCTACAACGAAGGCGGATGTGCCCGTCGTAGATGCACCGACCGACACGACTCTTCTTACAACTACATCGGCTGCAGGAGCTCCAGTCGACGCACCAGCATTGTCCTCAGAAGTCCTCGCGTCCCAGCCGCTTCAACCATCAGCAGACACGGACAATCACGCTGCGAATGTAATCGACCAGATTTCGGATGATCAGTCCGCTGGAGAGCCTCACTCAGCGGATCAAGTATCGGATCTCGCAACTTCAAAGGAAGATGACGAAAGCTTTGTCCCACCGGACATGGAGCACATTGTCAGTACGGGTGCAACACAAGACTCTGCAGCATCGATGCAAGCATTGCGAGAACTAGTTGCTCAAGCACGCGCTTCTTCGGGCCAGCCACGCGAATCGCTTCCACCTGGATTCGGCGACGACGACATGGAAGCTTCCGCAGCGCCGCCCACGACCGAGCAGCGTGGGGAGAAACGCAAAGCAGAAGCGGAGCTCGAAGACCTCCTACAGACCAGCTCCGGTATCGAAGAGGCCAAGGCTGCTGCTGAAAAGAGCCAGCATCCAGAGACAAAGACGCTCTTGCAGAAAGCGCTCTCTTCGCTCTCTGGTCTAGTATCACGCCGACCGAAGGCGGACGCTTCTCAAACAGCGTCGGCGCCATCGGTGGCAGCTAAGCGCGACAAAGTCGCGGACGAAGAAAGCGATTCCGACAGCGATTCCAGCTCTGATGACGAGTCTTCCAGCAGTGATTCATCCGAGGACGAGGACGAGGACGCAGAAAACAACGCTGGCAATGCTGACCAAGCTTTGGCGGCCGACGACGATGACGAAGAAGGTGGAGGCCCTGGCGGAAGCTCGGCGCCAGCGACCAAGAACGAGATCCTGGCCCCAGAGGTCGAGCAGCCTGCTGTTCGAATGCTGTCGGACACGGACAAAGTAACACTGCGGAAGCTGGGCAAGGTCCACTCCATCGTTGACAGCGTCGTCGTAGTCGAGCAAGATGTGCAGCAGACTTCGAAGTCAGACCCAGCGAGTAGCAATCCCGCTCCGGTGGACAGCACCGGTCGACAAGGTGAGCGCGAGGGCGAATACAGTGTCCTCGACACAGGCAGTCTGCTCTGCTTCGACGATGGCCAGGTGCTCGGCCTCGTCTTTGAAACGTTCGGCTCGATCCACAATCCCATGTATTCGATCCGCTTCCCTTCGGCCGCCACGATCGACCGCGATGCCGTCCAGACTCGACGCCCGGTCTTCTACCTCCCCGGCCAAAGCACTTATGTCCTCACCCAGCTCCTGCGCTCCATGAAGGGCAGTGACGCAAGCAACATGTGGGACGAAGAGGTCGCTGACGACGAGATCGACTATTCGGACGACGAGCAGGAGGCCGAAGCCAAGCGTCGTGTCAAGGCCATCCGTTCGGGCAAGGTGGATGAGCAAGGTAACCCGCTTCCCTCCAACTCGAATAGAAGCAACAAGCGCCAAAAGCAGCACGCCGCCGCTGCCGGCAACCATACATCTGGACCTCACCACGGCCCGGCAGGACCGAGCTTCCATCAAGGCCCGCCCCAGAGCGCAGCGGGTGCGCGCAGCACGATGACGAGCGCTTACAATGGCCCGAATGCGGGTCCAAGGCGCAATGCTGGTCAAGCCCAGCCGGCCAACCCCCTTCCGCCCGCCAGCGCTGCTTCTCTCGGACCTGCCTTCCCTCACGGAATCGCTTCGCTTCCGCCTAAACCATCGGCAGGATTGCCCTCCAGACCTAGTTTCATCGCAGAGCCACCTTCCTCTTCTGCTCCCCGGCCGTCTGCTCCTGGACGAGATCCGACGGGCGAGCTCTCGTCCATGCCTCGATCCAGGGTTGGCACGGCTGAAGGCCACCCAAGTGGACAGAGCCACAGCAGGATGTCTAGCGGAGCTTCCGTCAATCTACCTGCCAAGCCGATAGACGCTGCTGCCGCAGCCGCAGCCGTCGCTGCTACTTCCAAGACGGGCTCGCCGATGCCGCCGCATCGAGCTCCGGCTTCAGCAGGCGGGATGGGCTCGCCGTCGCAGCCCAGCCGACTCGCATCGAATCCTGCTTCCTATCCCAGCCAGGCTTCTCCCGCCTGGTACTCTGGATCCGGCCCAGCAACACCCAACACTCCGGCCTCGCCTGCCATGCCGTCTCCCCACACAGCTGGTCGGGGAGCCGCATACAGTCCTGGTGGTTCAGGCGTATCGCAGCCGGCCCCAACAGGCCATTACAATCCTGCCTATGCGGCTCATTGGCAGCACGGCTACGCTCCCGCGCCCCCTTCAGCAGCGCCGCTTCACGCACCTGGTGCCATGCCGTGGAACGGCTCACAGGCGTATCCTGCACCGCCGTTGCATTTTGGCCAAGGCGGCGTGCATGCGCAAGCCTATCCCGGCTACGGCGGTGGCTATGGACAGTACGGTGCAGGCCCAGCAGGCGCGTGGAACGGCTCTGGCTATCCAAGCATGCAATACAATGGCTACGCTGCTGGTCCTGGCAGCAGCGCCGCGATGCAGAATAGCATGCACGGCCAGCACGCATCCGCCGTGCCACCGCATGCTTACCCCGGTCACGCTGGAGGCGGTGATGCGTACAGCACGTATGGCTATGGTGCACCTTCTCAGCAAGCTCCCGGTGCGGCTGGCGCGGATAGATACGACCCGAGGAGCCCCGCGATGGCAAGCAACGGCAACACGAGCTCGGCCCAGCCCGACCTTGGCCCGCAGGGACAGTAAACTCAGCCCGGCGCAAAGAGACTCGGACGTGCAGCATCGCCAACTCAAATTGGTCTCCTACGTGTTTTTGCCTTGTCACCAATACGGATGTCGTGCCCGCCAAGCTGCGACGCAACGAGAGCCAGCCCGCTGCGCACGGGCCGCATCGCCACGGGAATCGACGTTGCAATAGATCAAAGGGCCGCGTCTCTGCCCCAGCTCCTTCATTTCTCACACATCACCAGGCAAATACCGTAACCAGGCAAATGAGGGACTGTATGCGCCAAGGTTGAGAGTGTGATCTTAGTGCGAGTTTTGCCAAGAGTCTTTTTCTGAAGTCACATTTGCGCTCGCGTGCAAGAGGCGACGCGAGACGACAGGATGTGCCATCAGGCTGATCATCTAGTCGCAGTCGATACATGCTTCGAACCAACCACCATCTCTTCGACACGCCATCGTCCCTATCCCCCAGCTTGCTCTCACTCTTCGCAGACCTTACCCAACACGGCCTCATCGATCGCCACCACGCTATTCTTCCCAATTTGGATCGATACAAACTCCCAGATAGCCTGCTGCCTGGGCACGGAGTCGATCAGCGCACGGCCAGCATCACATCGTTTTCCTGCGAATGACGGGATCTTCCGGACGGACAAGGAAGTCGTCGAGCTCCTTCAACCAGGTCGGCATCCGGGACAACGGGTGGGGCCGACGGCGTTCGGCACCGGGACCAAATGGTCACAGTCCCGGATCCGAACCGGGACAGTTGCCGGAACCGATGCCATCGCCAGAGCCCACGCTATCGCCACAATCGCCTTTGCCTTCCCGCAGCGAGACGGGCCTCGCGTCGCATGAGCCGTCAATGATCCCGGACGAGGAAATGAAGCTTGACTACCTTCTGCGCAAAGCAGACGAACGCATTGTCTCGAGTGGTGCTCCTCTCCATCACGGATGGAAGCATTTGCATTCAGATCTCCTGCACGAGCTCGTCACAGAGCTACAAAATGTGGGCCCCGGGGCGATCCGCGGTCTCAGGGCAATGCACACCTCTGTTGCTTGCCTCATCATCTTGATCGGTTGCTACGTGAATGGCAAGATGGACAAGCCAGAGGATCTCACATCGGTGAAGTGCGGGGTCCAAGACATTGTTCTGGGCTATTGCACTGTGCCTTGCTACGAGGCACGTGAAGAAGCTTATCAGGCGCTCACAACTCTGAGCTCCAGCGACCACAGCCTTGTGAAGAGGAACTGCTCGGAACTTGTGCAGCTGCTGCTCATTCACGGTCCCAGAGACCATGACATCATCAACGAGATGCTAGCTAAGCATATGGACCTGGCTCTCTCCGACTGCTTGCAGGTCATGGTCGACGAGTACTGCGCTGGGCCACCCAAGAGCCTCATTCTAGACTTCTTGACCTCGGACCAGGGCCGTGACGCATTGGCCACTGTCATAGGCGATCCTGTCCAAGAGATCAAGCTTGCACAGATGCTTGCGCCTGTTCTGCCTCTCGCAGGCCCCAGCCACATAGGAAAGGTCATCGACATCTTATCCTCTCTTCAGGATATCTGGCTCGACCCAGAAGGGCCCCCGACCGACCAGCAACTGGCCCGCGACATGCAGTCAGCCGAAGCAGCACTTTTGTGGCACTTGTGCTTGGCGCTTATGGTGCAGGGCGGCACTTACAAATATCCAACCAAGCCGAACACAGTTCTGGAGTCAGTCAGGATCGAAACTATTGTAAACCTGGCTTTTGCTCCCCCAACATTCATCAAGGGTGGACTCGCTCACTTCGAGAGACTTGTTCAGACCGCATTGGACGGCAGTACTTCCAAAGTCCTTTCCCGTGCACAGACCAAGCCTTCGGCCTCTAAGGTCTTCATCGAAGAACTGGAAGACTCCATCAGGTACTTCTTCTGCGTTCTGCCGGCACAATCCAATGCTCAAGCAGCAGAAGAGTGTCTGCAGTACTTCTCCCCAGCTCAGCAGGTAGCATTCTTTCGCTCCACAGCCAACTTGGCTGCAAGGATCTTGGCAGCAGAAAGGCTTTGTCCTGTGGAGCTTGGCTTCTCCGCAGAGTCTCATGCTCAAGAGATGTTGGGAGTGATCTCACGCGCATTGATGGTAAGTAGGAAGCTGGAGCTGCCCGCCTTGTGCTTGTGCTTGTGCTGGAATATCATCACTGACGTACAAGTCTAATTGCCCCGTCAGATGTGCCGGTCCAGGAAGTGGACGTTGGAGGAACCATTGGCGTACCTACGCTCAAGGAAGCCGAGCAGAAAGCTCGAGATGCATGTCTCGTCCTTGCGGCCGAAGCTCTCTTGGCAGCAGCTCACCATTGCGAGTTGACTCTCACTTTGTCATCTTGCGCGGCAGCATCGTTCTCACGTGATGTCAAAGCGCATCTTCGGGCACTGATGGACTTGGCTGGTGATGCTCGCCGCCTCCCGGAGGAGGTGCATGCCTCAGCTGCCATGCTGTTGCGACTCTGCGAAGAGTACACCACTTCGCGTCGACCACGCCAAACCGGTGATCACATTGCCCTCAAGCCCGAGTGGCTGATGCCGCCGCCTCCTTTCCCCGAGTCCAATCTTGCCGCCTCCACGCCAGCTTGGAAGCCCATTGGTTCGAAGGGTCGCTCATCCACCGACGCAGGGCACAAAGCGCGCAAAGGCGAAGGCAGTCCAGTTGGCTTGGCAACAACCAGACAAGTCCGCGGCCGCGAGAGTCCTGCCGAGGGGCATCGATCGCGCCGCTGATTCCGTCCAGCTCGAGTCATCCGCCTCGATTGTCAACTCCATATTCAGCTCAAGGCTGCACGCAGGGTCTGGTCGGTGTAGCGAAGTAGTGAATCAACTAGCGATCGATATTGCAATGCATGACAGATCACTCGCTCTCTTCATCATCAGAAGCAGCTTCGCCTTCCGCAGAGTCGTCTTCTTCGTCCTCGTCCTCGTCCTCTTCCTCGTCATCCGAATCGACCTCGGCATCGTCGTCATCCCAACGCTCTTCGGCGACGAAGTCGTCATCTTCAGGAGCCGAGTCGTCCAGATGCAACTCTGCCGCTTCCTGTTCGTCGTCACTTTCATCGAGAAACGAATCGAGATCCTTGTACTTTTGGTGTGTCTGTGTTGTGGCGGCGGATGCGTCTAGCTCGGTAGGCGTGGCGTTACCGCTGACGCGTGACGATGGAGTGCCGGCACCTTTGCCTGGAGTGAGAATGACGGGTGTCGACGCCCGCGGTGAGTTGCCCGTGAAGTCGCTGGATGAGAACGATTTGAGGTTGGACAGCGAGGTTCCTTGCAGTGTCGGAAGCGATGGTGTCGAGACGGAAGGAGGCTCGCGAAGGGAGGCCGGCGTCGGCTGCTCGGTCCATGCGGGCAGCTTGGTGTTGAGCCAGCCCTTGATGAGCTTGCCCCCGAGGACGAGCGAGAGAGAGGCGATCTCGGGACCGTCGGAGTCCCTGCTTGATGCTTTGTAAGGGTCTCCATGTGAAGGAACCGCCTCGTCGTTACCTTCGCTGGCACTTGATGCGGCAAGGTCGAGCGAGGCCTTGCCTTCGAACAGCACATGGATCACCTGCTCCCGGCGCAGCCGGACGCCCTTCAGATCAGCATCGTCCTCGCTGACAGTCTCGCCAAAGCTGCGCGCAGCCAACTCGATCGCTGCTTGGATCGAGTCCTCTTGTGACTTTGCCGCCTTGTCGCCCTCCGTTGCAGGGGATGGGGACTGCGTTGCTGCCAGGGGCGCAGTGAGTCCTTTGAGGAAGCGAGCACGATCACGCACGTCGAAGTCGGCGTCGTAGCGTGCGAGCTTGAGGAGATAAAAGTGGAGCACTGTGACCGCGGACATGAGCTGCTCCGACCTGCCCTGGTCCGCCGAGGTAGCTCCCGGCGTCGGCACCAAGACAGTCGGTAGGAATGCGAACGCTTTGCTGGACGTGGTCAAGATCTGAAGTTTGACGGCAGATGACTCGTTGACAAAGTTGACCGCACAGCGGCGGAGGACGTCTGGCACGACCAGCTCCGCCAGCGTCCGAGTCTCTTCCCTCTTGCCGTCTGCACTGGAAGATGTCGAGATCGAGATGGATTGGCGCGCGTGTTGGCCAAGCAGCCAGAGGATACTTGCTCGTGCTTCCGGATGGAGGATGGCACCTTTGCCGACTACTTTGGGCTTGACGTTCTTGCGCTTCGACTTCTCGGCCGGGTTGGGCTTTGGCGTTGTACCAAACAGAAGGGCGGCCAGGCGATATACGATGGCCGACGTCCTGCGCGATTCCGGGGCAGCATCCAGAGCGGCCAAGTCAGGCGAAAGCTGAAGGAGGTTCTTGATTTCGAGGACCGCACGTGCAACGGTGGAATCGTGGACACGGGGTCCAGACTTGCGCCTTCGTAGCAAGTCGAGCAACATGGACAAGCAGGCAGAGCTCGCATCGAGCTTCTTGACGAGCGCGAGTTCGCCTAGGCATGCGACTGCGTGAGCGGAGACGGCCGCGTCTGCTGATTGTATGTGCGCGCCGAGCTCCGCCAAGACCAAGCTGCAATTGCTGGCGTTACACAGCAGGACGAGGAGGTCGAGCTTGAGCAAAGACAGGAAGCTTGGCTCCTCGTGCGATGCGCCAAGGAGGAAGGAAGTGGTGAACGGTGCAAACAGAGATGGGTCGTGGCGGGAGATGGCTAGGATGTTGAGAAGCACCAAGTACGACACGTCGGGCGAGGATCGCAAGAGGCGCACCAGAGGCCGTGTGAGCATGCGATGATCTTGCGTCGGTGCGAGATAGAAGATCAGCCTCGTCACCGCGAGCACCACAGCGGGATTCCGACTGTGCAGCAAAGCTTGAGACTTTCCGAGCAACAGCTCAAGATCGCGATCTAGATCGGAGGATGGGCTGACGATGGGAAGGGACACGGTCGATGACTTGGAGTCCTTGCTTCGTGCCGCTAAGGAAGGCGGGGTGATGGCAGCGTTGCTGGACAGAAATGCCTCGAGCCCGTCGACATCATGGCGTCTTTTGCTCGAGTTTGGAGCTTCCTCGGTTTGATGTGGCTTGGCAGTGCTGTCTTTCTCGAGCTTCTGCGACGGGCCGATAGCGGCGTGTTCTGGCATCGACCTCTCCTCCACCTTTGGTCTGGGCAGGTTTGATCGCGCGTATCGCGACAAGACCTCGATGGCTGTAATCTGGCCCCATTCGTCCATGTCCGAGAGCGCGTGGCAGATCCTGCGATAGTTGGGGTGGATGAGATGCCAGTCGTTTGGACAGACGCGCTGGAAAGCAGCTAGCGCATCGCTAAGCACAAAGGGAGAGCGATCCGCGAGGAGTGTGCCGAGAACCTCGAGCAGCGACTCGAGCTGCGACTTGTCGATGGAGTGGCATTTGGGAATGGCTAGAGCCGCGATCTTGCGTACATAGAGGTTCGGGTCGCGAGCAGCCTTGGTGACCGCCATGAGCACGATTGGCGAGACCATGGCGACCTTGATGCTGCTCAGCACGCGGAGCGCCATAGCACGGATGAGCGGGCTCGGATCCGAGAGGTCCCGCTGAAAGCTGTTGATGCTCAGCAAAGTTAGGTCGGGATTGCTGTTGGCGTAGCGCAAGAGTACAATATAGACGAGCTTGCGCACGTCTAGGTTGGCGCAAGAGGTGAGCTTGAGGACGGCCGGCAAGAAAGAAGAGGCGTCGCGGCCTTTGGAGACCATGGCGACGATGCGAGTGAGGGCTGCAATGCGGTCTTCATCTCTGCTGGAGTCGATCTGAGTCGCGATGGTGGAGAGTTTGTCCTCGGAGGTGTCGAGATACTTGGCAGAGCCGACACCTCCCACGAGACCTTTGAGCGCGGCGATGGCATCCTCGGAAGTCTCGGAGAGGAAAGCAAGCGCACGAGAGGAACTCGAGTAGGCCGCACTCATGTCGCTGGAGACCGACACGACGTAGCGCTGGCCGGGAGAGCGTCGCGAAGGAACCTGGAGATTGCCGATGGTGCTGGACTGCGTTCTTCGTGAGGACGCATCTGCTTGGGTGTTGTTCTGGTGGAGGGCGCAAGCGTGGCACGCGCTTCGACACCTTCTCATTTTGCAGATTCAAGTTGATTTTCTGTTAATTTGAGTACAGCAGCAGAGGCCTAGCCGCCAGGCGGTTGATCGAGGATGCGCTGAGACGCTGATATCAGCGTCCATTCGCAGGTGCACTATGTACGCCGCTCAGAAATCAAATATTAACAATTAAGAATGTCCAAAAAATGAGGGTGTTTTTTCAACGCGGCCGCAAGCTTTGCGTGTTGCGAAGAAGTGCGAATCGGCCCCGATTCGGATCCGTTTGGGGTTTCAGATCCGCGCCTGGAACGGTGGCCTCTGTGGCGGGCCTGCTGCCGGCGAGTAATCCGGCCAAGTCGATGTCGAGGTCAGCCGGCTGATCAAAGAGCTGGACCTGCCATCCATGCTGACTTGATGCTGAGCGGATGACGATGGATATGCCTACCAAGCCGAAGGCGACACGCGGCGCCGGCGCGCACGGTCAGCAGCGAATTGTGATTTTCAGGCAACAGCAGTCAGCAGCGGGCAGGCGAAGCGAGCGCCAGATGGACCCTTCGCGCCTTGGCTTCACGCGACGGCCAAGCTGCACACGCCTCCCGAGACCGCCGCATATTCCTCCAACACACCACCTCGCGCCTATCGAGTTCTCAGCATCGATCAGCAGGTCTCGCAGTGTCTCGCAGTGCCTCGCAGTGCCTCGAGTCTACGTCCTTGGTTGAGACTCTGGAGCACTGTCTCGGATCGACCGACAATCACGGCGCTTCCACAGACGAGTCGCAGCGGTAACGTCGACGGTACATCCGAATCGTCACCTAAACACACTGCATCAGCACAGTCGCCTCCTGTTCCACCGCTCTCTTTCGGAACGAAGTGCGTATCGGAGAAGCCGTCTCGATCTCTCGTACGTTCTCAAGGGGGATTCCGCCTCAAAGCTCGTCGCTGCTGATCCAGGCTCACTGCATTCAACGGCGCCTGCCCTTTCTCCAGCGATGAGCAGGAATACGCAGGACGGTCGTGATCCGACTTCAGTCCAAGTGCTCGGCATGAACATCTCGCATTCACAACCACTGGCTCGCAACATGTCCGGCACCGGTGATGTGACTCCACCCTCCGGCGCATCGACGCCTCATCAGCAGGGAGATTACGCCGCAGCTCGCACTTACATCCCTTCGCACGGATTCACGGCTTCGCGCCTGCAGAACCAGTCTTCCTTTAGCACCGGAACCTCACAGAGCCCCGCGAGCAGCGAGGCGCATGAAGAGCTGGCATCCTTTTCATCGCGCTCTGCCAGCCACAACGATGCCTCCACTGCACCGCTCGCATCGGCCGCCGCAGACAGCTCGATGCGCAGGTCCTACGTCACCCGCGGTAACCGTAGCCTGAACCACAAGGATTCGTTCGGAGGATCCTACGGCTTCAATGCAGCACCCGATCTCAGCGCAGAATCTGCCGACGAAGCTTCGACGCCCTCCGTGATTGAACAGTCCCGACTTTCCCACGCTCAAGCTGACGGATCAACCTCGGAGGGACATCATCGCAACATCTCGCTATCTCGTGCTGCTAAGCATGCGCGCAACGGTGCACCTTTGGCTTTCCAGACTCGACAGCAGAGTGTCGGTCATAACGACGCTGTCGCGGGTCTTACCGACGCTATGGAGGTGCTGGGGCGCTCGGCCGCGGACCCCGTCTACGACGCTTCCACCTCGCGCATCTCGAGATCCCCTTCTGTGGCCGATGCCAACCCGAACGAGTCTCTGGCCGCTGCTGCTAATGCTGCTTCTCGATTCGAAAGCTCCGAATCGGCATGGCATCCCAACGACACCACCTTCTCGGCAAGCAGCGCCTATCCAACAGCATCGGATCGCACGGAACGCCACTATACTTCCACCTCCAATGCGCCGTCGTCGACTGCTCCAGACCGGCCCAGCGTCCAAGCAGAGGTGCCCGGACTGCCGCAAATCGGCGGCTCAGAGAGTCAATCTGTCTCTGCCGCCACCCAGCTTCCCTCTCACGTCGACGATCACTACCACGATGGCAGCGTGCACCGCTCTAGGAGCAACGGTGACTTGCTTCAACCGGGAAAAACGCCCGGCGGATCCGATCTGCTTTCCGCATCGCAGAAGGCCGAGCACAAGCCTCAGCACGCCGAACGCCGCGACCAAGGTGCCAGAGACAAAGCAAGCCAATCTACCATCCGAAGACCCGGATCCAGCCGCACCCGCGATACGGCAACGACAGCATCGTCCTCGAATCGCCCAGACGCCACGAATCCCGCCGGCCGATCGCTGAAGACCACACATCGCGTCTTGCCCCAGCTGCCGTCCGCGCAAGGTGTCAGGCCGGCACCCCCTCCAGCCATGTATTGGTCCAAGGCACCCGTCCACGGCAGCGTGCCGCGACGAAGTTTTCGTGCACACACTGCCAATCTCTGCGACGAGGTCTTGTGGCTTTTTGGGGGTTGCGACAATCGTGGTTGCTTCCGCGATCTGTGGTGCTTTGACACGGAGACCATGTGCTGGTCCAAGCCAAAGGTCACTGGCGACATCCCGCCGGCTCGACGCGCTCACTCCGCTACCATGGTCAACAAGCGTCTCTTCGTGTTCGCTGGAGGAGATGGCCCCCATTACTTCAACGATCTGTTCGTGTTCGACACCGTTTCCCTGCGCTGGTCCAAGCCGGAAATAGGGGGCACCGCCCCGAGCCCGAGACGAGCGCACACTTGCAACTACTACGAAGGACAGCTCATCATCTTCGGTGGAGGCAATGGTGTTGGTGCCCTCAATGACGTTCACACCCTCGACGTCACCGATCTTTCGCGTCTCGAATGGCGAAAGATGGAGTGTAGTGGCAAGGTGCCCATCGGACGCGGTTACCACACATCCAACCTCGTCGACGGCAAGCTCATCGTGATCGGTGGAAGTGATGGCCACATGTCTTTCAACGACATCCACATCCTCAGACTTGACACACAGACCTGGTATCAAGTCAAGACAGAGGAGATCCACAACCGCCTCGGTCACACCGCCACCCAAGTCGGCTCCTACCTTTTCATCTTCGGAGGACACGACAGCAAGACCTACACATCGGAGCTGCTGACCCTCAATCTCGTCAACCTGCAGTGGGAGCCGAGAAAGGTGTGCGGCAAGAAACCACAGGGCCGAGGCTATCACCAGGCATGGCTCAGAGACTCGAGGCTCTTTGTGCACGGAGGCTTCGACGGCAAAGACATCTTTGACGATCTGCACTTTTTGGACCTGGCTGCATGTGCGTACCTGCCGCAGATCACTAGCTTCAGTGTCGAGCTCGACGACGAGGAATGATGCACGCCCGCGTTGCGCTGGACGCAATGTCGGCGTGTATCGCACCGTTCTGCAGGCAGGCAAGTCACGTCACCCCTATACCCACAGCGAGACCCGAATTGCGTTCAGCAATAATTCCTTGGTCACACTTCTTGCACGCAATAAACGCATGCCATATTGGGCCACAAAGAACGCAGCCCGATCATTCGTCCGGCGTTCGGTGAGAAGGCGCTTTCGGCGACTTTCTGATCGGCACGATTCTCGCAAAGTGCAAACAGGCGTCTTTTCGCCCACCAACTGCGTGTCGGCGTGCAAGGATGCTCATTCGAGGGACGCTGAGGTTGAAAGAAAAGACAGAGCTTGCTGTCAAGTCAATCTCGCATCTGGGTTGCCTTGGACATGCATGATGGGCGGCGACAACGACATCATCCGTCCATCACATGCACGGGAGCGGGTGAGCCGCCCACCCAACCAGGACCAGAACGCGCGTGTCACTCCTGTCGACATTGGCGCACAATCGCCATGCGGACAATGCATTGTATGTTGCGCCTGCTCAGCAATAGCCGGCGACAGTGGCCGTAACCTCTGCTCTGACGTTGGCATCCCTATCAATATCGTGAAGCGCTCGGCTTTCTTTGCCACGCTTCTTGGTGGGCTTATGCAGCCGACGGGACGGTGTCGCGATGTGACAAAGATGCAGTCCGTCGTCAGCGATTCTCGCCACTTGACTTCATATCCCGGCTGGATCTGGTGAGGACTGCCATGATCGATACGGCACTCTTGTGCGGAAAATGCCTGAGTCGAGCGCCCTTCGAGTTCACCCATGGAGTGGTCTTGACTGCCGAGGCTACCGCTCCAGCCCACAGCGATGTATTGATGTGATCGCTCTGCGACGACAAATCGTGCTATGCGGCCCACCGATGCTTACCAAGAAGAGCCGAGTCCATTCCATACACTGGCTCTCTCAAATCCGGCAACACAAAATCCATACCGTGCTCCGGATCAAGCCGGGCTCACGTCAGACAGCAGCGCCACCATTAGGATACCGCTCTAGGACACACGACGGCGTGGCTTTGATCGCCGAAGCTGCTCAGTAACATGCCTGGAGCACAGACCAACGCTTGGACTGCACGCCGAATGATGGCGCACGAACCCACCCTGGGTTGTGGCAGTGCCGAGCCGTGCATCAAACTCATCTCACTGATCCTGGTCCCACCGTCAAGAGGCGCCCGTAGTTTCCCACCTCGTTGCTTCAATGATAATGAAGTGGGTCTCTGCCTAACGAAGACCCTGTGAGGGCGACCACCACCAGTTGCACGGCTCAGTCGGTGCCAGATTTTCGCCTTGCCCGCTTACAACTGGCGTCGTGGCGTCGACGTCGCTTCGTTACCTTGGCCATCTTCGCAAATGAAGTGGGGTCACCGCCAGCACATCGCTCTGCTCAAGGCAGTTGCACGGTCGCTCCTTCCATTTTGGGGCTGCGTGCGCCGCCTCTCCAGCCGCCGCTTCGAGTCTGATCTAGCCCGAGGGGTATAAGACGCAGCCTGTCCGAGCCCGAACTCTCATATCCTGGACCAAACCATCCTCTTCTTGTTTTGCAAGCCTCACAAGATCAACCACCCTCTTCTCGTCTTCCCATATTGAATCTTCTGGAAAGCGTTCAATCCCCACACTCTCTTTCAACATGAAGATCCAGGCCTCTTTCGTGACCCTTCTGGTCGTCGTCAGCGCCGCCATCTCGGCTGCTGACGCCAAGGCCGACCTCTCCAAGCGCCCCGTCCGCCTTGCCCGCCGCGACGACGCCGCTGTCCAGAAGCGTGGCTTTGGTTTCGCCAACCGCTTCTTCCGCCGCGACGGCGCCTACGATGCTGGCTCCAACCAGGATGCCGATGCCGCTGGCGCTAACGGCGGTGGTGACGTCTCCAACCCGGGTGCTGGTGGCGATGATGCTGCCAAGCCCGAGGACTACAACGGTGACAAGAACGCCGATGCTGACAACTCGGGTGCCGACAAGCCCGCCGACGACGGCTCCAAGCCGGAGGACTACGGCAACGGCGCCTCTCAGCAGCCCCAGCAGCCCCAGCAGCCTCAGGGCGACGCTTCGCAGCAGCCCCAGCCGCCCCAAGGCGACGCTTCGCAGCAGCCCCAGCAGCCCAACAACGCTCCTCAGCAGCCCCAGCAGCCCCAGCCCGAGGGCTACGGCAACGGCGGCCAGCCTCAGAATGCTCAACAGCAGGCTGACCAGCAGAAGCAGCAGCAGGATGAGCAGAAGCGTCAGCAGGAGGAGCAGCAGCGCCAGCAGGAGGAGCAGCAGCGTCAACAGCAGGAGCAGCAGAAGCAGCAGCAGGAGCAGCAGAAGCAGCAGCAGCAGCAACAGCAGCAGGAGCAGCAGCGCCAGCAACAGGAGCAGCAGCGCCAGCAGCAGGAGCAGCAGAAGCAGCAGAAGCAGCAGAAGCAGCAACAGCAACAGCAGCAGCAGCAGCAGCAGCCCCAGCAGCCCCAGCAGCCCGATCAGTCTCAGCAGCAGCCCCAGCAGCCCGAGGGCCAGCCCGGCTCTGCTCCTTCCAACGGTGACAGTGGCAAGCAGTGCCCTACCTTCCCTAAGCAGGGTGGTGGCAACGCTGACACTGCTCCTTGCTTTGACAAGAAGGCCAAGCGCAAGGACATCTGCTCTGCGCTGAAGCAGTTCGGCATCGACACCAAGCAGGTCGGCTGCTCTGACGAGGAGTGCAGCGAGGACGCCAAGGACTTCTCCGACCACGCCTGCAACAAGAAGAAGGAGTGCGACTTTGGCTGGGACAACAGCTGCGACTTCTACCTGCAGAACGGCTTCAACGGCCTCGACAAGTTCGGCTGCAGCGCCAACGGTGCTGCTGGCGCCGGTGCCGGTGCCGCTCCGGAGTCGTACGCTCCCAGCCAGAACGGTGACGCCGACCAGTCTGCCGGCGCTCCTCAGGGCGACGACAGCTCGGCCCCCGCCGACAACAGCGACGCTTCGAAGGACGCTCCCGCCGACAACGGCGACAACAGCCAGCC